ACAGGGATTTCCACTCTTAAACAGCAAATCAGCTGCAAGACCCCATTTGCAGCCTGTTAAGTTGTGACCAACTGGAGAACACAGTGGTTTTAGTATTCATGTTGACCTAATATAGACAGATATGTATACACAATACTTCTAGTTTTTATATACTAAACTCCCATTAATCTCCATGGAAATTATTCCAAAATAGAAATTCTTTATGGGCAAAGCTCTTGCCCTCCCTCTGATCTTCGGAACTAATCCCTGCTCCTTCCTGTTGGCTGTTTGTGAATTCATGGATTAAGAAGGTCATTAAAAGTTGCAGACTGGAGAAAAAAAAGGCAAACAAAACACAGAGAAATTAGAAAACTGTTGATTACACTGCTTACATGACATTTCTTCACCTTAGGCAGGGTGAAAATTTGTCTTCCTCTTGTTTGCACAGCAAGGAGCAGATGCTTCTTTTGAAAGGGACTGCCACCCTGCCACCATGACCAAAACCTGAATCTTAGTTTGTTTTTGTTTCCATCTTTATAATGAAAATTTTCTATTGGTATCTGTCCTCATTAAGGGCTGGATAAGGAGAGAGGGCCAGGATGTTCTCTTTGCAACACGATGATCGGCCTTTCAGAAGTCTCACAAACAGAACCACTTTGGGTGAGGGGAAAGACAAACTTCAGGTGGAACCGTGGGGATGAACAGGAAAATTTTCTAAATGGCTTTCCCACTGGAGAGTCCCTAACGCAAAACCCAGACCTTAGGTACCTGGACACCTCAGAAGATGTAAGTTTATGGTGTCTCTCTCCCTCAATTTCACTGTTTTTCCTGTACGGTAAAAGGCCTTTCCCTCCCAAAAGGACAGTGACAGTACTGCATTAACTGAGCTCTGTTGAAGGGCTTTAATGAAGACAAATGTGTTAAGTTAACAATTATTATACTTACACACATGTTATTAACAAGAGAGGAGCTAGGAAGACCTGGCATAAGCATGTTGAACTTATCATGCTTTCCAGACCGCAGTGAAGTCAACACATTCAACAAGGCATGTCTCCCTAGCAGCAAGAATAGGCTTGCATTAAATGTCACATTTATCTAGACTTCACCATGAACTTAATCACAGTGAGGGAGAAACAGGCCCACAAGAAAACATCAAAGGCTTGAGCAATTACAATATATTAGACTCCTTAACAATATTGAAACCTCTGATGCTAAAGTTTTTCTACATTTTATTCAATTCTCTTTAACCTCCTGTGAATCTGAGATCAGGAAAACAAAAGGATGAAGCATCTGCCTTCTGCAGTGTGCACACAAATACAAGGACAAATACTGTCAGATGCACTTGACAGCTGTAAAAGAAACAGATTCTTTCCAGTCAACTCCTAGATAAGGAAAAGAAAACAGCTGCCCCTGGGTCATAAGCAAGGAAGACGTGATGCTCTCAGAAAGTCCCCTAGGCTGAATTTCAGCAAATATCTCCTTCATGTGTGAGGTGAGTTTTTCAGTTTTCCAACAGAAATTGAGAGCAAAGCAAATGGATAGGATCTCTTAAAACAAAATGTGTGGGCTCAGGCATTAGCATCCTGCTTTTGAAACTGGGCAGATGAAGAAGAGGGCTAGATGAGATCTGGGACTGGGTTTTGCAAAAATAAGGTGAGTGTTTGGAGGCTGTCAAAGGTATGTAACATGGCCTCAGGGGGTTAGGAGGGAGTAAAGAGTGGTAAACTTTGCACATTTTGGTTTAAAATAATCCAGGGCTCATCTGAGGCCCTGCATAATCTAAGACCATCAATTTCCTGGAGACAGGTCATATATAGTTACATTAAAAAATTAGCACACTAAGTACCTGAGAACTCCTTTTAAACATATACGTAATAGTCATGCCTCTGCTAAAATCTTTATACTGACCTATCCTGACCCTTGTACATGCATTCCACAAAATGACTGACACTTGCTTTAGATCACAGCAATTTTTAAATTTTGTACCACAATTCCTCCGTGCGCACATGTCATTACCAGCAATAAAGACTTTGGAAAGATGAACAAGGTGAAAGCTCTTTTGATTGCACACAGAGGTAAAGAATTTTTAATATATTTAATAATTGTTTTAAAAAGCAAACAAATGCATTACAGTATCTTTGAGTGCATGTGCCTAAAGCAAAGTACATTCAAGGAAAAGCTGTGGAATAAGAAAATCATGCCTTTCAAATTTGTTTCTAACTTAATTAAGACTTACATTTTTCTTTCAGTTTTCACAAAAAGAATATATTTTTATTATTGTATATGACCTTTTTATATTTTCGCCTGAGTATGAACTATCTGGATCAGGGGAGAGTAATTTAAAGCAACCTGAACATGCTCATCTGAAGGAGAAAGAACATGAAATTTACAATCAAACTTCGGCATTCTTGAAACTACCATCTCCTGTGGATGGTTCACAGCACTCAGGAGGCCTGAGGAGAGGGATCTGCACTTTCATGAAGAACAGAACTCTGCCCTCTAATTGGCAGCATGGAGGGTCACACACATACATTTTCCTGAAAGTTTTTTCCTCTTCTCTTGTACCCCTTCTCATAAATTAAGTTAGAGTTTTTCATGGTTCTGGAGAGCCAAAGCCAGAGCATGTAGAAATTGAAAGATATGCACACCACGAAACCTTCTCTACTGCAGGGATTTCCACCAACTTTTCCACTGAGTTTTCCTTCTCCCTGCCTAATCTGTACTCACTGAAAAATAAATAAATAAATAGATAAATAAGCAAATAAGCAAGACTATTCAGCCACTTAGTAAGGTTTGGTGTTGAGACTTTGAGCAGCTGCTGAGATAAGGTTGCATTTAACAAAAGCAAGAGAACAAAAATTTGAAAATATCCAAGTATCTTTGTTCAATCAAACACACAAATGCCCAGTAGGTTATCAGAAGTGAACCTCACCATCCAGTCACAGCACACCCTTTCTCCTCCTTTCATTCTGCACTGAAGAGTAACTAGCCTGGTCAGAATTACTGGACTTCAGGTACTGAAAGTTTAAGACAAAAGTGAAAAGCATGTCTATCGGGAAAATATATTCTTTACTGAAGAACACATTTTAATGATAATAAATAATATTAAAACAGAGCTGGGTGAACATTCCCCACCATGAGCAGAAAATACAAAACTGCTGAATAACAACTGAATAAACAATGTATAAAGATTCAGGGTAAATTGCAGTCAAAAAATCTTCTACTTTAAAGAATTAGTCCTTAAAAAAATCATTTAGCATCTGTTAACAAGAATAATGCAGTTTTCATGGCATGATGGAGCAGAGAGTATAGAAGGACATGACCGCAGAGTGCCAGGCAATCTTCACTTTTTAGGCGTTGCAGAATTTTTCAGAATTGACTCATTATACAAATTAACTCTTTGTAATCAATATTTCACTGTGAATTTAGGCTTTCTTTGCATATTTAAAATTTAGTTAAAATTTCATTTGAGAAAAGAGTGCTTCTGTCTGTCATGCTCAACTTGTTAGTCTTATCCAGGTCTTTAATTGTAACTTTTTAATCTATAAATGATAAAGGCTGAGTCATATAATCCATACGGAAGAATAAATGTTACTTAAAACGCAAAGGAAAAAAGCTATTTCCCAGATCTTGCTGGAGAAATATCATTAAATAGAAGTCAAAAGTACATAATCCTAGATCAGAAACTATTTAATTAGAGACAAACATGCCTACAGTCTTCTGTTGGACTGTGAAGTACTGTTGAAGACACACAGCTTCTTTATGTGGCATCTGTATATACACACATGTACATACACACTTACATGCGTGTTTCTATCAGGCACTATTAAGGAATCTTTTAATAAGTATTTAAATTAAAGAATGCTGATCCATGCTATGTTAGCTTACATGGCAGAAGTGCCACAGAGGCCTCTCAGGCCACACTGCCTAGCCATGACTGATGCCACCCAAGGTATCCAGTGCATGCATCACTTGAATATTGAAACAAAATGAGATTGAACTGCTTTAGCGTGTGCCCACAAAGCGACAGAATGGGGAATTTTTAACCATCGTTAAGAGTGTGGAAATCCTTTCCCCTGTGACTGTCTCCCTCTCCCACTTCCTCCTGGCCCTCACTCTCGTGCGGCACCAAGTCAATGTTGCTTGTCCAGCTGATTTTGTGAGGCCAGGTGCCAATACAACTCATATCATCATCACTGTGCTAGATTAACAGCAGAACGCAAGTTAACTGATTTTAGCCCCAGTAATCTCAAGGCAGCACTGGCTAGCATCCAGACAAAGGTGTGGAGAAAAATATTTAATAAAATACTCCCATCAAGATCAATGCTTGTAAAACAATGCTGTTACACACACAAGAATGGGTCTTCAAAGTCTCTAGTAACCCACATCTGCACATAGATATGAGCAAATTTTGTATCAAGGCAACTAGACATGTGAGGCCTCAGTGCTCATTGATAATTTTTTACCATAACTAATTAAAAAAACTTAAAAATTAAATCCCTAGGTTGCTGTCAGAAATTATCAAACTACTCACAGTACACAAATACCTTGATTATCTCTAACAGGATCTGCTGGGCTAGCATGGGTTTAACATATAAAACTCACCTCCCAGAAAAACTGAATCCCACGGGAAATAATGTTCCCTAAAATAACCTTAAGCTTCAAATAACCTACTTGTGGGGAAAGTCTTCTGCTGTATTCTTCACCAAAGACAGAAAGGAACTCTGAATAATCTTCTTCTTGACTCTGAAGAAAAGGTCCATGACTGGTAATATAATACACCTCTTCTCCTTGCCATACCTACAAACAAGCTGCAATTCTGCTGAATTAAAAGGTTTTTGACAATTAACACATGGTCCATACATACAGAAATGTGGTAATTGAGGTGTACTGGCAGAGGGAGGTATAAATAGAGTGGAATGTTTGGAATGATACGTCAATATTCCCAATTAGACTAAATCTGAAAATCCAATGTGATGGGTTTGGACAAGCTGAGTTTTTTTAATTTTAGTGAATAAATCTTGTTATTGGGACTCAGGTGATTGATCCTAATCCTAGCTCTAACACTGCTTCAAAATGGGAGTTTAGGCAAGTCACTTAACTAACTTTATTTTGCATCAGAAATGACAAGCACTCCTCCTTTCAGCAGAACACTTAATGATGTCCCCAAGGAAACACACCAATGATTTTACTTACTTGATTTAATTTTGTGATGTAGACTGTGATACAATGGAAGACCAAAGGGATTTTCCAAAGTTGCCTTTATGGATCAGAGGTAGCTCTGTGGGAAGAGGACAAGCAATTTCAGAAAAGGTCTGTTCTAGGTGGTCTAACAAGGGTATTAGTCACACTGATGACTCAGAAAAGGTAACTCTGATTAAAGCTATTGGCAGCCAAACAAAATATGAGTAAGGCCAGTTTCTGAGCACTTTACCATATAGCATTGCTAATGGCTTCTATTTTATATTAAAAGTTGCTACTCAGCAGGAAGTGATACACTGGAGACGATGTCAGAAAGTTTTTTAGTGGCTGGCAACCCAACAGTAACGTTACGCTACATACAAATAATTTGATGTAGTTTTAACCATCTTTTCTAATGGCTGAGATAGCTTGCCAGACATCAAGCTCACAAAAGTGACATGGTGCAATTTTACAAGCCTGAGCAATTGACAGGCTTGCAGAATACAACTGTTGATAAGATGGTTTTAATTCAGGGTAATCTACCTGCTGTCTCAGCCAGTTCAGTCTCAATCTCTGCACAAAATCATGGAACTTGTAACCTTTATGCTCCCAACAGCCCTATCTAAATCCAAACACCTCTTCCACGCTCCATTCTCCTCCCTATTACCCATACACCAGATCTTTGACTTTCCTGGCAATCATCAAAATAAACAAACTGAACAAACAATCATGAAGAGCAGCACATAGATGGATCTCATTAAAGCTCCTTCCATGAGTGACAGGTTATCTGCTTAACTGAATAAAGTTTATCAGGTGCCTTTCAAAGAGACATTTCAATCTCTTGGCCAGATCTTCCTCATCTCTGCCCTGCCCTCTTTGAAGAAGGAGTGGGAGGAGGATGAGGAGAGAGGGTTGCAGAGAGTAACAAGAAGAAAATGGCAAGACAGTACTAGCACATGAAATTTCCAGTATTTCCTTTAATCCTTGGCAATAGATTGAAGGCATTGTGCTTGTGTAGGAATAAGATCATGTCAGTTTGATGATGTCCTGGTAATGGACAGTAATAACAGATCCCCACGTAATTCCTTCAGATTTGTCAGAAACTCCAAATATCATTTTACTGGGAGGTTCTGCTGACATCTTGGACCTGCAGAAGCAGGGAGAAGTAGTACCAAAGTGACTCATCAACTGCCCAGGGAGATCTGCATCGTACAGTAGTAGCAAGGAGTGCCAAGTACAGCGTGTGCTCCACAGTGTGAGGCAAGCATGGAGCAGTTACTGATGAAAGCTGGTCAGACAGAGGTGAAAACCCTGACTGCCAAAACCAGCTTACCTCATTTAAAAGGGATGAGAGCAAATCTTTTTAGTGCCTTGCTTTTATAAGCTGCAAAGTGTGTCAGACATCAGTGGACTGGGCAGATTTGACCAGTGCAGGAAAGAAGGAATTATAGGTTTATGATATTGCCAACACCACCACTAAGATAATAAAAATGCTGCTTCAACACATTTTTAAGGGCACTGTGCATGAAGAAAAAAAAATTACAAACATATTGAATTATTGTGAAGAGTGCAATATGTTGGTACTCATCAGTGAACTCCAGCTCTAATGGTATATTGGACCCATGCTCAGGACATGCAAGAACTGTGATTATAGTGCACTCCAGACAGGCTGGACCATGAAAAATGCCAAGGCACTTTGGAGTAATATCCCTAAAAGGTAGTAACACCAGTCCAAAGACATCAAGTACAGTGCTCTTAACTATCAGCTGAGTCCCTGTGGACTCAGGAGAAGCGGAACAAACTTGGCTGAAATGTGAGCTGTAACTTCACAACTAAAGACATAGCCAAATAGACACAAGTCTCAGGTACAAGTAGTTGTAAGAAAAACAAGTTACTGGACATTATTTGAAATCATGTCTCATGGGAGAGAAGCAATACATTTTATCCTGTAGCACTGACCAGGTGCAAGATATATAAGGTACAGGGAGAAGTCAAGGCCTCCAGTATTTTTCAAGTGCTTTCAGTAATGAAGTGATTGTGTCTAGACAGATCCTTACAACACCTTTCTTCTGTGTTGCCTCATCTCCCAGGTGTCACATTGAAGTCCAAAGGTCTCCCAGTCGAGGTGTGAGACAGCTGTATACCCAGGTGTGGGGCCTTGGTCCATACAAAGGCATCAATTTTGGGAGGGGGTTAGTGCAAAATGCTGCCCTTAGGTGGGAGAATGTGGGAGGGACTGGCTGGCATGGCAGCAATGCACAAAGGAATGGGCAAACAGGAGAAAGAGCCCTTGGGCCGACTTGGGATGGGGTTCTGCAGTGGCTGTATTAGTAGGATGTGAGAAATGGTCCATCTCCTCCCGATAGCACTGCCCCAGGCTTGATATCCTCCCCAAAGAAACAGCTGGGTCCACTTTCATGCCTCAATAAAGACACATGCCAAAACAAGGGAAATGAAATGTGATAAGGTGAACAGTCTAGAAACAGTGGCCTGTGAGAAGAAAGAGGAGAATGGAGGTTGTTTTGCATAGGGAAGAGATGACCTAGGAAGGACACAATAATGCTTTTCTAGAGGCTGCTGCTAAGAACCAGCAAATAAATGTTTTTCTTCTCTGTGGAGGGTAGGATAAGGATAAGAAACAATAAGCTTAGGCTGCCAAAAGACAGACTTATTTTAGACATTAGGAAAACTTTCTGGTGATAGATAGTTAAGCACTAGGAAGGTGCAAGGCTGCAATCTCTTTGCCCCAGAAGAAAATTTAAGTCTAGCTTGGACAAACAATGGCACAGAAATCCTATCTCAGAAAGGGGGATGAACCAAATGATATTAACAGACCCTTTCCAGATCTACTTTTCCCTGATTCTCTTTCCTAAACACAGAATCCATCTGTGACTCTCTGGAGCAGCCCAAGTAAAGTACAGCATTGTTTAGATGTTTCCTGAATGAGTTTTCTGAAAATAACTACAACACTCTAAATATCCTAATGCTGCAAGATCTTATGGCTTTGTCTTCAATTTTACTGTACTTGACCCATTTCTTAAAACTCTGTCTCCTTGAGTCAGGCAGATTCATGAAAGCTAAGTTTAAATAAGCAAAAAGCTGTCTAAATTTATGTTGCAGGAAAAAAAAGTCCAAATAAATTAAAAGCATGACAGAGAAGTACTTCCAGCAGCTATAAACCCACAAGAGATGTGAAATACATTATTTAGCTTAAAATCAAAAATCAGTTGATTAAAAAAATCATATGATTGGGATTGATTCCATCATTAGTGCTCATTAATACTTAATATTTTTCATGGCCATCCTCTAAGTCAAGTCTAGGCATGAAGTTAGCACAAAAAGAAATTCTGTTGCTTAAGGAAAGATTCAGAAACCAAATGGCCCTCCTAGAGAGTGACATAGACCTAGGGATATGGAAACCCCTTTTTCAGTTCAAAATTGGGAAGTACTCAAAGAAACCTGCTGACGACCACAAAAAAAAAAAAAACCAAAACAAACAAACAAACAAAAAAAAAACCAAAAAAACCCAACTACCAAAAAAAGTCAAACAACAAGACAAAAACAAAGAACAACAACAACAAAAAAAAAAACCTCATCAGAACAAAACTAAAGAAAGCAAAAAAAAGGCCAAAAATATTTTGTTGTCACAAAAAATGCAATTAAGAAGGTGGAACATCTTGCCACGGGATACTGTGTATTCTTCATGTGTGTGTGTGTGTGGTAATGCTATGAGCATGCCTACATGTGCGAGACTCCAGCACAGGAAATCTCTGAGCCACAAATTCTTGGTGACTGTGAAAATTTTGGAGAGAAAATATTACCCTGCATTTCCCTTTCTTTCACGGTAGGCCCCAGGACTTATGGGTCACTAGAAGACAAGATATCAGGTTATACTCTTAATCTGACCACAGAAAGATGGTCTTAGGTTTTTTTTTTTTTATTTTTTGTTGTAGTCCTGATGAGCTGCAGTACACAGGCAGAGCTGCATGAGGAAATTTTATATCTGTTCTCTGAATAGCACACTGCCTTTTCCAGGGCTGTCAATCACACCCTGGCAATAAATTCTCAAAATAAAAACTTTTAATATAAATAAAATGCACAAATAAAACTGATAGTGGAGTATTAGCTGAGTGCAGGAATGTAATGATACTTATCATAACAATCAGTGCAGTGTGAGTTTTCATCTGACCTGTCATCACTCTGCAATCTTTTTCATTATCATAAATCAAAAAGCATTGTTTGGTTTAAATCACTTGCTGCTTAAAGATGAATCACCTTCAATTTCCTCAGTTTTGCTTATGGCAAAAAGAGAAAAAAAAGCTTTCAAAAGTGCACAACAGTAAAAATTTCTGGTCTCACTTTGCATTAAAAAAAAAAAAAAAAGAAAACAGAGAGCTCTAAAACTTAATCTAGCAAGCAACATAAAATGAAACAGAACTGTGATTTAGGAAAAAAAAAACTCTCCATCTGCAGAGCTATTTATCTACCGTTTGGTCCAGAGAGTTAAAATACAGCAGTCTGTGAAGAGGGACCCCAGGCTCCAATGGCTTGAAGAAGATAGGCCCTCAAATATCTAATCTAGCTATAGGTGCACATCTAAGCTTCTCTGTAACATCTGTCCCTGTGGATAAGAAACCACTGAGCATCCTACACTGGGCTGTGCAGACACCAGCTCTGTGGCTTGAAGCATATCCTTGTACTGACAACTGGCTCACCCAGGCCACCTCAGTGGGTTTGGCCAGTGACCTTTTCTCCTTCTGAGAAGCAGTCTTTCTTCATCCCACCACCTTGGCATTACATCCCATGCCCAAAAGTGCAATTAGATTCCTGCCACTTTTTCCAAAGTCAGGAGGAATAGGGTCATTTAAAAAGTCAGTTGAGTAAACTGATGAGCCCAATGGGCTGGAACAGCAAAACTGATCACAGCTTGGTGTAAGTCATCCCCAGGGGGACAATGCAGAAGAAATATGCTGCACACAGTCATATCTAGGTTTGTTCTGTGAAGAAAACCCTCATAAGAAAAGAAACAATCAAAAATAAAACAGGCTTCATTTTTCATGTCTCCCATTAGCTAGAACCCTCGTGGCAATTCCCATCAAT